ATATTTTTAAAAGTTGTATCCAGGTCCGGGTTATTTGTTTCCATTTCATCCTAAAATGCGAAAAATGCAGGTGGGATCGCACCAATTTCCAGTTGAAATATGGCTTCCACTAAGAATTTAAACAACTAATCCACTTTGTTATGCTAACGATTCCATTGGAATGGATTTTTTGTATTCATAATCACGGGTGGTACCACTGATCTTCGTGCATTTGTTTCGGCAATGATAACGTTGACTGAAGTATGCTTACAGAGGCAGCGAATACTACGAATCATCATGTAGTAGAACACTCGGAATGTACGAGGGATGTTGTCCGGATATCATTCTGTCCTTTATTCAGGTAATTTACCAGTACAGTTCCTACAACTATTGAGGAGTAGTGGGTGGGATTGATGATATTGGGCTGACAGTCATTCGGACTCCAACATTTACGCACAAAATTAATTTCATCCGATAAACCCTACACTGGGAAGCAGTAGACTTAAGTTCTGCTGTTGTCAGAGTCTGTGATCAATGCATATCCTTCAAGTCCTTGTCACCCCGAAGAGGAGTTTGTTACCGCCTCACCTTGCCTTTCCCGTCGGGGCGGATTCGAAGAACAAAGCGGAGTTTGTTCAGTGGTTGTCATCGTTGACAGCCTGCAATGCGCGACAATTTCGAAGGGAGAAAAGCCCTCTGCCTCGTTACCTGTGAGCAAACAGATCTCCCCAAATCAGGTTTTCTCCTTAGGATAAGACATTGTACCCATATTCACACTTGCTTCTTAGTTGATATTTGCGTGTCACAAATAAATACGTTTTTCAATATCTCTTTCTTCCGTCGCTTACAAACCACTAATGGAATCCTGAATGCAAGCGGATTAGATATCATGGTAGGTAACTTCCTAGCACATGGTAAGTGCATACTTTTATGAATATATGAAAAAAGACCGATTTTCAAACTTGCCTCCGACAGTTCATAAGTTGAGAGAGTTATACAGGAAACGAACGACATGTTTGCGTATTGCAACATTTTCGAAGACCGTGTCTTGTTTATTCATCTCGGGTAAATTTAGTCCCTGTTTGTACCAATAAGGTAATATTATAAAATGGAAAGCAATGAAGTTTGCGTGCGATTATTTGACTTCAACGTATTGACGATAGATCGTGCTAAGTCTCCCAAATATTTTCAGTTCCCAATGTGTCTACGAATTCAGCTGGTAATCTAATAAATTCCTATGCTCCTTCGTCCCGTCACATTGTTTATCTGCACGTGATGGTCATTGACGTAACTGACCTACTTATGTTGATATTATCCTAACTGTCTACCGAGTTTCGAGGCGAATGGATGGTTTCACAGTATACTTACCGCGAATATGTCAGTTATCCTGTGTAAAGGAGGAGTGAAACACTTTTGGAATCAGGACTGAACACTACTCGGCGATAATAAAACAATCAAGTTTTCCGAAGGTGCATCGCAATGAATGCAGCAAAACATTAAAGTTAGTTTTACAGTATGGGGCTTTTGTTATAAACGTGAATGCCAATTATATTTTGTACGTTCCGTATGTACTGAACATTTTTCTCACTGGCTACTAACAGCATGTCAGCAGTCACAGTCTACATGTGGATCTCTTCCAAGTTCTTCCATTGTGTTGTTGGCCCATAGTTGGTTATTTTACTGGACTCAGTCGCGATTCGTGGTTGGTTTTTAATCACATTCTGATGGCAATGCGAAGATTCGGTTCTATTTATCTCGCGTTGATTTGGTTGTAAGCTTTCATGTGATTTAAACTGTCCTATCCGTTTCCTTCCTTCTGATACTGAGCCGCATTCGTTTAAATGAACATATGACGCTGCCGCCTGGTATACCAGTAAATCTGGCTATACACACTATGTGTCTCGCTCGGTTAACATTTGGCTGTATGTTTTGATTATTCACTGTTCATTAACATTGTACCAATTATAGAACCGTGTTTCGGAATATTATGCCTATCAACCAAAGTCTTTTGAAATTTGTTTGAGAGTCTAAGTAAGCCACATTAGGAAGGAGCACCCTAGAACGGCTGAAAGCGGCTGGGTCATACGAATGTGAGTGGAATTCATTCAAAATGGTCAAAGTTGACGGCCGAAAGGATTTCGTTCACATATATATAAATTGATGGAAGCCATAGTGCACAGTTTGGACGAAGTGCACGAGAGGAAACAATTACTCCTTTTACTACAGATCGGCTTTTAGAATTTCTTGAAAATTTGCCATAGAAAAGTGACTGTCGTCATATTAGCAGCTGTGAACTTTCCTACTTCAACATCGAATGTTCAGTACATTGTCCCTTATTGAACATCATCAAAACAACACGACAATGGAGATGCTTAAGATGATAATTTCCAAATGTGACTGAGTGTTTCATAAACTAAAGTGACGAAAAGCACTTTCGATTATTGCTTGAAGCACAAGGCTAATGGGAAAATACCACGTGGCTTCAATCACTCAGAAACCTAAAAAACTTAGAATATGAAAAATGAATAATTTCAGGTGAGAGCGGTTTCATTTTTGAGCAATAAAATGTGAAGCGAATACGACCTGGAAAGCATAGTGAAATAACAGCTCATATGGATACAAATTAAATGTGATTCGCATGGATGAAGCTATCATGGTCATCGCAAATTCCTTTCTTATGTTCCATACCTCATATACAGGTAAAGTTAAAGTTTCGTCGATATCAGGCTTTTTTGAACTGATCAATTTTCAACAAATAAGGTTGCATAATCGTAGAGATTTTTAAGTTACAAAGGAAACTTGCCGTAGCGTCTGCCGCGCACACGGAATATTTCCCCAATCTCATTGGAATCGTGATTCTCAGGAGAAAATCGTGGAATCCGTGTCGCTGAGCTTTCAAGTGGCTTTGTTAGTGTAGTACTTTGCGGCTAATGGATGGATTTGTCCACTTCCATTAGATGTGCACTTTTGTGTGGAACATGACCTGGTGCATCAAAAAAGGAGTTTTCCTAGTTCATGTCATAATTTTACAGACGAAGAACTTTGATGTTTTGAACCTGGGGAATTCAACGTTGCTCACGGATGTCTATATTACCGGCCCATCTTCGAGGCTGATCGACCTGTTTTTGGCCTATCCTAACCGGTTTTGTAACTACAGAGTCACTGGAATGATTTTTTGATATTTATTTTTTACGGCAGAAGCAGCTATGAGCCCCTACATTTCAGCACTGCTGATTCGAAGAAAATCGATGTTCAAGACGATTAACGATATGATTTGTACACATTCATGATTGCAACATCCAGCCACCTTCGATAATCTTATGATTTTAGCTTTGTAGCAGCTGAAATTCAAACAAACTTTAAGTTCCCTAGCTTTTTATCAAAGGCGCGCTGAATTTCCATAGATTTGCTCCTCACATTAAATACATACTGCTTATTCCGGCGGTTTTTGTATCCCAATGCAGCTATTATCATTTTCCAAGTCCGATATGTTTATTCATTTCACTCCACTTCTCATTATGACACCCAGTTTTGATGAATAAAGTAAAACCATATGCTCTCTTGCACCACGATCATAGTGGAATACTTTTACCACAACGACGAGTGTTTCTCAGGCCTCTACATCAGCGAAAATTTACAGATTGAAGTAATAATTTGTAGCACAATTTCATCTTTCAATAATACAGCGAAGTCCAAGCTGTTGGTCGGTTTTCGACGTTTCGGTCATCACAGGTTACTTTTTCAAGACTGGTTTACCGAACGATACAGAGCGAAACAATCTCGGTCCTGACACAATAATCGGTATATATATATATATATACCAGACATTTCAGAAAAAACTTCTCTAGTGAAGTCATTATCTTTTTCGCCAACTGTAAAAACACAGTGCATTTCATCATTATTTTTTACGGTTGATCGCATTTATTATCTGACTGACTTTGGACATCTAAACTCAGGCAAATTTATGATGGTGATCAAGGCCACACAGTTCATTAGTCAGTAAATCGAGGCTGAACTAACGTTTCTGATGTCTAATTCGAATATAATAAGAAATGTTAGGATAGAGGAAATAGTTAAAAAGGAAACATCTTTTTGGTGAATTTTGACATCGCTTGTCTATAGATTATTTGATCTCAGGAATACGGCCCTCGAAGCCCATGTTTTAAATTCTAATGATGCTTATATCCAGAGTATCTCAACCTACATATTTTTATGTATTCTGCCATGCCTCTATTGATTCCTTCAATGCAATGGCTCTTTTTCCCTCCATAAAACCCTGGTCTGCATCACTTTAATTGTTTCTTGCTGAGAATCATTACATTTAGGAGGGGAGATAGTCAAACAAAAGTAATTTTTCTGGACGGAAAATGTTTTCCCTGCAAAGAGGACTGTTCAATGTAGGTTTCTATGAAGAGAGGATGCGATACAATGCCTTTAGTACACAATCTTATTCGAGTAAAATAAAAGTATTGAAATTATTGGGGTGAGCGAAAGACACGTAGTTGCAAATTCTCATGATCTCCATTATATTCAAGATCAGTCATCTAAACAGTATAACAGAGTTAAACTGAATTTCTGAATGAATGCGCTACCCACGAAACTCTGATAACCGAAATTATGTTGACAGGTTGGATGCTGTGGGAGCTTGTGATATCACTGAGCCGAATAGTTATTTTCGACTTACAAATTATCATTGACCTGTTATTATTACTCATAAATTCCATGGACTGGGATTTAAGCCTGGGCACGAACGGATTCTAGTTTTCGCGTCACTGCATCGTTTAACCAAACATAGTCGGATTTAAACACAAGTAGTACCTTTGGGATGGTGTACGTAGCATCATGGTAAAACTTCATGTATGCTCATATAATGAGCAGAAGGCTTCAGGTAACATAAGACTTTGCCGTATTTCAAACATGTTTATACTTTCACCATTCTACTGCGACTGATTTCGGCAGTGAACAATAATTTTGGGTAGTACCATGAAAAATACACATTATTAGGTGTAGATAAAACGAACATGTTACAAGAGGTACCTGAAATTCAGTGTTATAAACGTTGTAAAGTAAGTTTAGGGAATGCTACCGACAATAAACGAAAAATGGATTGACGGAATGGTTACAAGCATTTCCAACGGCAACCTTTGGCTGAACTTTATTGAGTTACACATACGCGTGTTATAGCCGAAGTGCTCAAAATTGAAAAAGTCGATTACAATAAACAGTTAGTTCGAGAAGACTGGATTTCCAGCAACTCATAAATAACAACGTATTCTGCTGGTCATTTGATTAGCATCAAATAATGTGAACACTTCTAAATATTCTGAGTGGTGAGCTCACTTTTCGGTCGCCACTCAGATATATGTACAACCACTATTACTGTCCAGGTTACTGGCAGTGTCGTAAACTTATATCATTTCGATCGGTACAGTGTTTATGTGCTCGAACGAAGTCCAGTTATTTCACTGGTATGATACAATAACTGATACAGAAAATGGCTCTGTTATAGCTGATTTGGACAGTAAACCTGACTGGCTTTCATGTAATGCACACTGGCCGATGGCATACATGCCTATGATCTTCTTCATCTTTACCAACACCAAAATGTAACAATTTGATTGAATACAATCTGGTAAATGCTTTCTGAGTATCGATTTACAACAGTTCAACATTTAGTTGTTTTGCAAGATGTAATAATTAATTGAAATGAACTGGTAAATCTGTTCCCATTCTCGTCACCAATGCTACAACAAACGAGTCACGGAGTTATTTTGGCATAGTACCGGTCAGCATTTAACTTTCAATGATTCCAATTCCTACTTTCGGCATTGATTCGGCGATGCACATAAACCAGTCCAATACAAGTCTAGCACACATCTGCAGGCGTTTGTTCACTCAGTAATGTAATATGTGAAGGTACTTATTGTGTAGGAAATAGGAAGTGACGAACATCCAAAATACTATATGCTCGCAAATCTCAGTGATTGCGCTCCAGATGGAATGAATCTTCCATCCAGAATTTCACTAAAAAGTAATAAGCTTCTCTCGATTACAAGCATTTGCAGTGAGGGGCTTGTTCGATCCTCATTCTTTTTGGGGGTTTTCCATTGCTGAACAGTTTTCTGATTTCCGGGTTCTTACTACAGAAGCTTTTCCTTTTATCCAGCATAATGCTCGGTATATGTTCAAAGAGGAATGAGCGACAACTCAGGGACGTGGCCACGGCTAATTCAAGGCCGCCAAACTGGAAGATGACCATAGATGACGATAATCTTACCTAGGCCATTACTATCCAAAGTCAACGATGGTGACCGTTAACCACCACTTTACCGTTTTCACTGGATAGCTGTGAATCCGATGTTTCACTAGCTTACTGTCATTACTGTGCAGCTCGAATCTCGTCCAAGCACAACAAACAAATTCTTAATCACACGCAAATTACAACTGTGGGGTCAGTGGGGCTGTAAGCCTTTGCATTTCTCCGAATTAATTCCATCAATAGCTGACACATGGAAACCAAAGGTGATATGAAAAATGAGCTAACTGAAAAGACGAAGTATTGTCATTGTGGATATAAAGTCTTCTACGTAGCTAGTGCCGTAACAAAATTCACATTTAGTAGATGAAATTTTGTCCTTTGAATTTTTTGGCCATTTGCATTCTAACTGGAATCTAATCAGAGTTCGAGTTTAGACTGATGACGGAAAGATTGTGACAAAACACTGCTCAATGTGTTGTGGAATTCAACGAATCATTTTATTTGCCTTGACGTTTGAAAACTAGTTTTATTTTTAAAGCAATAACTACAACAAGAGGGTAAGACATATAGGATCTCCTTCTCTTCTCTAGTTAAAACAGATTTGTTATGCGCATTTTGCTCCAACAGTGAAGACGTAATGAAGACGGATCATAAATCACAAGGGTTTAATGGGCTTTCTTGAATATGGGTTGCGGCAGAATTTAGCGGAGATCAAAACCTATTGGATAATATTTTGTTTTCATGGATTCTTTAAATCGAATTTGAAGATATGTTCTATGAAAAAGCTCGCAATCTTCGTTGGCATTACATCGTTCATAAAGTCAATCAATGACACTTAGATCTACGTAGTTATCAGTGGAGTCAAGAATTATCAAACATTTTCGTTCAGGATATTTTGAAGTAAAAATGTTTCACAATACTGAAGACTTCCAAATTTAGCTTTCTGTATCAAATGCACGCCATGCTCGGGAAAATGATTCAGAGCAATAACAGAAGTAAGTGAAAGTCTTGAAGCTGGGTTTAGTTGTCGCAAACAAAATCATGAACTTAGTCTTGTGATTTCGATTCCGATTATATTCGTGACAGCTTGGCTCAGTTCATTTCTGAATTGTGAGTCGTGAAAAACGTGTACCAACAGTGAGGTTCAAAGAGTCTCTCATATGTGCCTGTGTTTTTACAACAACAAGTGGTTATATGTGAGTGATCCGTTAAGTGACAGTCACGGCTTTGCTTGAAGGAAAACGAAAAAGCCCTTATTTGGCACTCTCATTATGACATCCATGGAGCCCGTTGTATTATAAGGCCTTAGAACAAGTAGGTGTTTGTGGTAGTCTGTATATAAACAAACCATGAAGGACGACAAATTATTGGTTTCTGGGTGTAATCTTGTTTTGTTTCTCTACAAATCTTGAAAAATTGAAGAAACAACAATTATGCGAACACTCACTAGTTTGTTACTACTGTTGCTGATCACCTGTACATATGGACAACGTAAGTTATAATTTCATCCGAAAACATCTCAAACCTTCTTGTTTGCATTGTCAAAGTGTCACTACCACACGTGAAACCGTACACGCAATTCAGCTTCGTTGAGTAACATTATATGTTGATTATACTTAGTTTATTTACCACTAGCATCAAAACTGATAGTGATGTGGCTCAGATTACTATACGCCAATATATGTCATCCAAAAACCAAAGATAAGCACACATTTATTCATTGAATTTAGGACTTGAAGTTGATAAAATCTGAACCATTGAATATTGCATGCGAATGAAGAATCAAATTGATCATTATGGTCATCTAGTTGCTTTTTTCCACTAATTTACATTTTTTTGGAAAATAATTTTCTGAGAAACAGTGAACCCGCCTACAAACAAGGAATTGCTTAGCGTTTTTGGAAAAAAAGATCCGTACAAATGGTAATAATACTTTGCTTTTACATTGAGATGCAAAAATCCAAACAACGTCGTTAGCAATGGGAAACAAAATATGTGGTCTGTAAGACTGACGGATCCATGAATCAAATCAAAACTCAGTTCTGTACTAACGGATTCTATTCAACGCCTCGAGCGATTAGGCCACTATATTGTATCGCTATTTATCGACTCTATGTGCACATCTATTTATATATCTTCGCAGTAAACTAAATGTTAACTTGTGCATCTATAATAAAATTTGGCTTGAGTTCCTCGCATTAACTGTCTAAATATCATAACTCAATATGAAGTGAATGAGTATTGTAGTGATTAATATCGAGGATAGTAGGTGCCAACAAATAGTGCGTGGGTGAAAATCGAAAAACCGAATCAGTTGCCCTTTTTATCTTCCTTCTTTGAAACTACATTATCGGAGACATTTTATCTGCGTTCGTTTAATTCATTCTCACGAAAATTTGTGGCTGCTTAGAATGTGATCGATATGCACCATATTATCAACAAGACAGGCTGAACTTAAATACTTGACAGGAAGTGACTGTTTTGTATATATCCAGCTGGAGATTCACACTAAGCCGATCAGTCACTATGAATTACTGACATTATCTCGCTATCAAATTTTCCGGCCAGCATACTAGCCTTATTTTTGAAGCATTAGCTCATTTGTAAGTCTGTGCACGAAATCTTAAGTAAGAATTTTCATCCTATTCAGAGCAAGAAGTTTCGTCTCAAGACAGTTCGTCGACTACGTCGACGGAAGGGACTTCCACAGAATCTACAGGCTCAACGTCCACCCAAAGTAGGTTTGAATGTGAGAAATCCTTTCTGTCGATTGGTTACTTTATACTAGTCTGCCCAGTGTTGCATCTGTGAACATACGTTCATCTTATCCCTGGCCCTATTTGATTTCAGAATCCACTCTAAAATTTTGTCTATCTCTCAATCTCCCTGATGACATTTTGTCCAGTTATATATATATATATATATATATATATATATATTGTTTGCACGATAAACACGTTTTATGTCGTTTACCCGTATGCCCTGGAACTCAGTTTCTTGAGTTAGTAAAAATGCACTTCATATTTCAAAAACAACACCCAAGACTTTGTGTAGCGAAAATGCAGAAGTCCGATGCTAATACCGCAAATACGAAAACGTGAAGCTCTTTCTACGAAACAATGTTGGCCAAAGTCTAATCAGTATCGCATATTTACCTATCTATCCACCAATATATATATATATATATATATATATATATATATATACATATATATATATATATATATATATATATATATATATATATATACCCCGCTTGAATCTTTCCCAAATTGGCTACCATTTCAACCTATTGTTGTCCGTTTGTCATCAGTCACGTAAAACTGAATCAGCATAGCAGGAATTCCTTTCGGAGGTTGTGCGTATCACCAAAAAGTGCACTAGTGGGAATGTAACGGAACTAATCTATTTCCCATTCTTCCTCCATCCCCTGCACCAAATAATTAGAGACGATTTCCTCGCACTAGCTTTATTCAATCCCACAGAACTGTGGTCGTTATAAAACAGGCTGAAACTATCGAACCGAAGTAACTTGATAGAGTTCGTGCATGGATGGGGTCAGATTTCACATACAACTGTTCAACCAGTTCAAATTGTTTGAATTTTTTCCAGAATTCAGTTTTTTGCTCTGCCTAGTAGCCACATTGTTAAAAAACTGACTTATTTGCCTGTCGGTGTACGAAATCAAAGATTAAACCCATCTTATTCAGAGAAAGAAGATTCGTCCAGTGACAGTTCAACGACTTCATCGACGGAAGCGAGTTCCTCAAAATCTACTGGCTCAAAGTCCACCGAAAGTACGTTCATTGTGTGGATTCATTTTTGTCTATGATTGCCTAATACTTTGCTCATTGGTTCATCTGTGTACATATATTCATCCAATCCTTTTCAATATTCTAAACCAAGAGCCGCTCTTCAACTATTTATCCGTTATTTATTATTCCTGTTTACGTTATTGTTCATATATATATATATATATATATATATATATATATATATATATATATATATATATATATATATATATACAGTTTACATGTGACAATAATTTGATGTAAATGTCCTGTGCCGTTGACCATTCTGGCATTTGAGCCCAGCTTCTCGAACCAGTCGGAGCACGTTTCATATTATGAAACTAATCCGCGAGGCATTCAGTGGCATAAACACGAAATTCGATGATAAGGCCACAACGGCGAAGACGTGGAAATGTTTCTTGTAGAAAAGCTAGTTTAATCCTATTCAACAGTTTATATAGGCAACTGCGTATTCACTTATCCAAATAGCTGCACGTCTAACTTTATGTTTATTTATTTGACAAGTTGTCTCATTTTTTGAAAAATGGACTTTCGTTTTCAGCGCTTCATTTCCATTTATTATCTGTCACTGAATATTGCATGTACACTGCAGCCAAAATATTTTAGGAAAAAAGATGCCAACACAAAAACTAACAACTAAAACTACATTATTGTAGACTATTCCATATCGGCTGTTTTATTCAATCCCACCGAAATCGTTGACAATGTTGTAATCGATCCACCTGAGATATATATTTAACAAGAAAAGATGAACTTATAGATACGAAATGAAGTGACTGTTTGTGCATGCATCCGGTTAGAAATTACTACAAAGCGTATCATACGATTTGAATTGTTGACATTGCTGGCGAGTCAAGGCAACCAGCTGATTAGATAGGTACCGGTTTGAAGCATCAACTTATTTGCGAGTTGTTGTGCTAAATGAAAAATGATAGTTCCATTTCTATTCAGAAACTGATGATCAAACGTCAAACGGTTCAACGACTGAATCAATGGAATTGACTTCCTCAAAATCTACAAGTCCAATGTCCACCGGTAATGAGTTACTTGTATAAATTCACTCTTGACTATGTGTCGCCTAATTCCTGTCAATCCGTGGATCCACCTGTGTTCACATATATTCATCTAATCCCCCACATCATTCAAAGTAAAGGAACCCCGCATAATTAGTAACTTTTTTAAATCTTCCTGTTTTCATTGACGCTCAGCTTTACTTTATATATATATATATATATATATATATATATATATGATGCATATACATATGTGCGTGAATCAGGCATACCATACTTATCTTCGCTTTTAAATATCCCACTGACTTAAGTAAAAACAATTTCCTGCCCCTAAATCAGCTTGGTTATTACACACAATAAACATGTATAGGATGCTGGTTCACGTACCTAGTCGTAGTAGTCAACTTTTTGGTCAGAGTGGTAAACGCAAGCGAGCCTTGAGGCCTAACACTGCTCAGGGGATTACCCACTCATTCGGTCTGTTGACTCCATCAATAGGCTATCCCGTAACCAGAGTTTTCGTTGTCTAAAGCCTTGGGCTTTGTACCTCACCAGTAATTACTGCTAACGTGAATTGGCAGTATCTCGACAATGAGTCAGCCCATACCCCCACGGTCTTGATTTATGTATGCAGATATTCATCTGATTCGAAGTCTGCATGTTTTGTGTTAGTGTGCACAAGGCATTTTCAGCACTTTTGAGCTTCACGACTAATCTAGATCAGCAAACAACTCAAAGCACATCGGGGACCACAGCTAATGGTAGGATGACCACAATGTCCACACTGAGTGTGAGTTCATTCGATTATGCCATCCTAGTACGTACTTCCGAATTTCACTGTCACAGATAATTCTATACGGTAATATACCCCCCCCTTACACTGTACACTCATCTCCAACGCGTTGTGAGTAATATTAGGGATAAACATGGTGTTCCTTTCATTACAGATGGTTCAGTGCGTCCCGTGATTCACACAAGTGGTTGGATTTTTTTGCTGTCCGCGCGAGCTCTCATCTTCTAATCGTGCAATGACACTGAACAGTTTGAACGTTCTTGCGGATTAACGCTTTATTAATGTTCTCATTGTCATAATCCACATCAGTCATGTGACCATTCTGCTTCTCATTATTCCGCAAGTACATGAAGTCTGCAAGCTTTGTGTTATTTTACTATCTTACACAAACAATTTACACTTTTTCGTTCACGTCCGAGTCTGTCACTTCGGAGTAGGCGTTGATTTAGGCAACCTCGAATCGATCCATAGGTGGGTAATCCCCCCATTAGTGAAAACAAATTCGAACCATCTAGCCTGGACGAAAAGCCTTATATGTTATCGCAAATCACTCAATACAATCAGTTACATTTGGATTGCAGAACTTTGACGTTCAACTGAACTAGTACACAGTAGAATAGTTTAATCTCCAGGTTAGATTGTGAGGCACGTAACATTCGTAGCGTTGGTTGCTGGAGGTTTAAATGACCAGTCAGATTTCACTCTACACAGCATGACTTTGGTTGACTTGATATCGCGCACTGCTGTTGTTTGTTAATGAAACTAGCACCGGAAAGTAAATGTTCTATCAAATGATACCCACAATCTGTATTTGATTAAAATTTGGTTAAGAAAATTCGATCGGGGAATCAAAACTACAGATTGCTATCCCCAACCATGATCGACTTATTAAGTGTCGCTCGTTATTTTCAAAAAAATCGATGGGAATCAGGATGGCCTGGTGTTGCGGAGGTACGGAGCTCAGGTAGACAATGATCACAAAACAGTTTACGAACTTCGACACGCGACTCATCTGTACCGTGAAAGCTATCAAGAGGCATTCACAAATGATGGAGTATCTTTCAGAAATGGAAAAAATTGGGGAAATGCTACCGCACTGAGGAGGAAAAAGAGAAGCCGATTGAGAAGTACCTGGTTTCGCAAGCTATATGGGACAAACTGATGCCCCTATCAGGAGTAAATCACACTTTTAAATAAATGGTCAGTGTTTTTACTCGTGTATTTTTCTACTACTGAAGGTAGAGGCTGATATGCAATGAAGGATTGTCGTAAGATATGCCATAATATAGGAGACGTATTCTCACAAAGTTACGGCCCTATACATTCCCTTCATCATGCAGTTTGACAGTCAGAGAAAAATATCTTTTCAGATGATTATTCGCATGTATTTAGTCGATGTTATTTTTGCTGTTCTGAGGGTGCAATATACCCTAGCAAGAATAGCGGATGAAACGTTTGATACAACAAAGTTTCGCATTGTGTTCGACGACAAGTCAAATTTGTACAATTAGTACAACAGTTGGTCTAAGTTCATCTAGCGTCTCTGGGGTGCAGGTATGTTTGCAGACAGCGCAACGAGTATGGAGAGTTGCTTAAAAAATTGCTTTTACAATAGCCCTCAGGATGGAGAATAGCAAGTCTTCGATCGGAAGTGTTATTGGCGGGCATGTTTATATACAGTGAAAATACTTACACAGTTACCGTATGTGGGGTGCGCAAGCGTGGAATTATTGGTGAATGGCGAGGTGGGAGAAAAAACATTCCATGAACTGTCCAGTGTTATCCGAGTGGGAGTCAAGTGTAAATGAACAAAGAAAACGTGCATAACAACCTCAATTGAGTGTAATAAATGCGTAGCCCATTGAGACTAAGTTATAAATTATTAGTTTCAGCAGGTTTTATTCTCGAACAGCGAACTTTAGTCATTTCACACATCTAACCCTAAAAAAGCTTAAGGAAACCTCCAGTTGTATTTTATTTTGCTATTCAGTAATAACCTTGTCCCATATTTATGCAATCAGACAAATCTTTCATTATTGACGTTAACGTGAGTTTACGATCAAGTGCACAGATTGCCTCAGACGGTTCGTTTAAATGAAATTGAGCGAGCGCATACTCTTACCATTCACTTTATTAGGACTACTGGGATAAGTCAGTACATTCGTGTATTCACTTTCGGGTTACCATTTTTAATTTTGAAGTTATGATAATTCGTGAAAACCGATTCGATTTTCTTGAATTTCTGTGAATATTCTGCCAACTGAGACCGGTTTACCCTTCTCTGATTGCTGCTCAGTATAGTGAAATGGGTGAAAAACAGGCATTTTTACAATCGAACTTGAGGGCATCGTTTGGTTGAACAGAGGTAAAAAGAGAATTTATGAAGGTATATGGTAACAGCCGCTTGAGTCCATTGATTCACTGAAAATAATTGTAACGCAACGTTTGATTTAGAGAGCTCTAATTGAGTAATCCGTTTTGTTGAATAGCCACGCCCGAAGCACAGAGAAAATGGTCGATATCGGTCTCTTTATCTGTGGCTTATATGCTCAAAAGAAGTCTGAAGGCGTACGGAAACTCACTCGGTCATTATCCCACTTCTAATCAGAGACCACTTTCAGTTTTAACTTTTAATTGAACCATTCGAAACGAGTTGGACTATTGGGAATCGGTCTTTTCGGGCATCTCACATTAGGAACGGCCCTGAAGTTCATTGTCATTGCACTCACACACCAAATGTGCATTCGAACGTACTTTGGATATTTTCCCGTGGCCAACAATTTCCCACCCGGATACCAATTAGCGGATCTTCTGTTCTTACACGCAGGCTTATACACTTCACCCACTTCAAACGGTTCAGCTTTTACAAAGAGCTTTTTATCGGATTGCAATAAACAGCGGTCTTTAATTTCGTGCTAATGGAATAAGGATAACCCACCTTGTTTAGTCATGCATTTGCCACAGATGATTCTTGTACGTAATAAACATTCAGAAAAAAATTAAAATGCACTTTCAAATAGCAACGAATTGTTGCCGAGCATCCACCGAAATTCCGTTTTTCTAGAGACAGGTGTGCATAGGTTTCTTGAATTGTGTGCCGTATCTTGTTGAGAGAATTGATATTGACTAAAGTGTTGCTTAAAAGTATCTGCAACTTGATAATTCCCCTCTTGAAACGACTACTTTTATTCATTTCCTGAGTGTGGTACTGAAGGTCTGATAAGCGGCAGAAAAGATATGGTTTTCTCGATGTAAGAAGTATTGCTTTGTGGATGACAGGACAAACTTTCCTCTGAAAAGCGCAACTGATTTCGCGAAACGGAACAGTTATTCTAGCAAACCACGTATTGACGACTCTGCCAGTGGGACCGAGTAAAATGGGAGGCTTTGTTAATTGAGAGATCTTGTGGCGCAGTGGCCAGCAGAAATTTTGTATAATAGCTTGCCCGATTAGCCGAATACCCCCCGGTATGTTTGTGGCAAGGGAGTGTATAGCACTGCCGACTGTTCTTTCTTTTGTGGGGAGCAGTGTAGTGAGCAGGTTGATGGAAGCCATATGGATGTCCCATTAAGGGTGAGATCCTGTTGGTGCACTTGTTGAGCTTTGGGCTAATGGAATGTTCTCTCATTTGAGTTTTGCAGATCAAACCCAAGCCCCCCACCATCGAGCAACATTTTTCTTTGCCTAGTACGCTTAAAGCAAATTTTTTGGGGGTTGAACTCTGCTTACATCTTACTCATTATCCTCCTTCTATTCATGGAATTTCAGAAGGCTGTTGCTCTTCGGGTTCCTCATTTTCATTCTTTGGAGTAAACTTTATTGCTTGTGATCAAAAAAATTAGAAAAATAAAAAAATACGCTTATCACACGGAATGAACTATAATTTGATAATGAACATTTTGGACCTTCAGAAGAAAAATATTCACTTCGTGTAGTATCAGCTCTGAGCTAACGATTGAGCCGAATCAATTACCACCAGTCAGTTCAAACCGGTTGTAAATGACCTGTTTTACTACAGGACAGAGTGACCTATTGCCATTTCGTCTTTGGCTTCACATAGATAACAACCAGTTCTTAACACGGCAGTCGACTTCGTGGGTGATGTTTTCTCCATGCAGACCTAAGCAAAACGAAGCCATGAATAACACTTTGATTTGAGAACTCATAATGCATAACGATTCATATCATAACAGTTTTAAATTTCTGAATAATTGTATTCATATGGGGGCCAAACCTTGTTAGCTGTTTTTAATACCAAAACGCGGGCTGTCTTTTGGGGAGTGGAATAAAAGACACCAATTAGTCTAAACCTCAAACGTCACACCGTTTTACGGCAGGACTAATTACTGTGAGTACTCCGGAAGTTTATTTCCGCGAAGTGCATGTGTGCAGCTCAGCGCTATGAGCTGTGAGAACGCGAATAAAATTTGAGAACTAGTGCACTGAAGCTTTTCCTTCTTGAGCGTTCGGTCAGGTTGCCACGAGCTGTTGTGCCACGATGTCAGCTACCCGGGATCCAACACGGATGGCCAGTATAATCATCTCGGATTCACCCCTTTTACTTGGACCCAAAAACAAAGATCTGCTGCACCATCCGTTGACTGAAACTGATAAGAAGCCTCATAATTTATCCTTACATAGTGTACACAAATGCTGACGCTTGTCCAGTCAGAACAATGTCTCAGTAATGACCTAAAATCAATTCAAATTTAAATAATTTATTCGCTCGTTAAGCCCACTGACACTTTCCAAAGCTCAAAACATATATAATCTCGAGAAGGCTAACACACGGAAACATGCATGACATGTCTTTTGAGACTGCCCTGGTCAAATACATATTCTTTTATTCATACCGGTAAATGCAGTCGGAAAGTGAATGGTGACAAATCACAGTCGTAAGATGTATATTCAACCACAACCCGTCCAACGCGACTGGAAACTACTCCTTCTCCACTGCACTCCATGTCAAAAGTCACGGGAGACGCTACGGGACAAAAGTACACTGAGCTGGCTTATTTGAAAGATTCAGAATAGTAGTTTATTTGGAAAGTTGGGTCGTTATTGAAGCGGGAATTTTAGTTCTACTCTAACTGGATCCCTAGATCTATGATAATAAGAAGAATAAATGATCAGTTTGTAGTGACCTCGATCGTTTTGAGAAAATGATTGTTTTCCGAACACAATTTGGGACCTATTTTTCCTACGATCTTTTCCGACGTTTGACATC